TTCTACAAGTACAGGAGTCTATTTCACAAGTTCCTGCCAGGCTAAGGCACTGAGGTGGGGTCTCAGCAATTTTTTTTTTTTTTTAATCACATGGGGGTCCCGCCTCTACAGTGAGGTGCCTGTGAGGCACCTGTGAAACTTTTCCTCGTACGTTGGGATTAAATCTTCCTTATTATATTTCTTCTCACAGTTAGACCAAAAATAAATTTCATTTTCCATTTCTTCTCATGGTTGTCACATTACGTGGGGTGGAAACCATTACAAATATTAGTTGTAAGGCAAATGTAGAAAATTCTTCAATTAGTATCTAATCCAAAACAAGAAAAATAATTATAGGTGACTGGCAAATTAAATGAGAAGAAAGTCACGTGATTATGAAGAATTTATCTGTGCAATTAAAGTTAAAAATAGTGGTATGACTACACCTTTCTTGTCTCAATTATTTTGTCACCTAAATTATGGTCAAATTAACCTTAATCTTATCTGCCCTCATCATTGCACATTTTTTTATTCATATTAGATTAATGCAATAATACGAAGTTTTTGACTAACTTGTGTTGTTACAGTAATGTTTGTTTGAGCCACATTATTTTGGAAAAAATATATTTTTGAATAGTGTATTGATTGAAAATATGTGGATAAAAAATAATCAAAAGTTTTGAATTTGCGTGTAATATTATTTTATTAAAGAATATATGATTGAAATAATATCAAAATCACTGTTTAAAAATAATTTTTTTTTTCAAATAATGTGGATCAAAGGAGGCCATAATTTGTTGATGCTACTCAATTAGTAAAGTTTGAGGATAAATAGAAACTTACAAGGTGGATTATAATTCTTGTCCCTCTCAAATTTATTTTTGTAAGAAACATGTGGAAGGAAAATACATTTTGATTTTTAATTTTTTTTTTTTTTAAAGAAAAAGGTTATATTTAAGGATGTCAACACGTGTGAGTGAATTTAATCAAGTCTACCTTCATCGAAGTTCGGTTTAGACTCCTATTATAATTCGACTCATATAACTTGGTTTGTGATATAGGTGCTAAAAAATTTCTTATCTCGAAAAGTAAGGGGCACTTAACTTTCAATTAATCTAGCCTCCTCCATTTCTCAAAATCAACAAGGGGTAGTGCATGAAGGAAATAAAATATTATATATGCTTTTAAATAAATAAAATGGATGCATTTGTCTGTACATATCGTTGGGCTAGATTGACTAGTGTGACAGATATTGTTAATTATTATTTGATTTATTGTGACAACACTAGTTTGTCAGATAATAATGAAAAATATAAGCCTCCGTTTGTTTCTCATTTTTGGAAGAATGAGAATGAAAAATATAATCGTTATGGGCCCCACATAAGAGATATAAATTCAAATTTGATGGTTTGACGTGATGGATAACGGTCATATTTTTCATTTTAATAAAGAAATATTGAAAATCAAACAGGGCCGTCTAAATTTGACTTGAGGTGTATTGTTTTTCACTCAAATGTTAACACGTTATTACATTAATTAATAGGGACTATCGTCAAAGAAAAGAATTATTTTATAAGTTTGTCAATTATTTAATGTATCCCTTCTTTGTGCAAAGATGTTAGAATTAGACCAAAGAGAGATTCATTGCTACATAAGTTGCGGTGATGGGGGAAGACAAAAGAATTAATTAGTTGAATGCGGTCGGAATGAAATGCAAATTCATCCGAAATGCAAATTCATCAAAGATGAAATCGAAATTCATATCAAATTCACGCGTCTTCGTCTCCCTGATGTAGCGTTGTGGTAGTCATGAAATCCGTGTACCAGTCACCGTCCTCGATATAGAGAGAGAATTATTACTTTTAGAGAGAGAAAATGCTGCCATATATAGTCACATACTAACTGTAGACCGTCGCAGAAGCTTCTCTTCATTCCCATTGTGCCGAATAAACTCTTGCTGAATAAAGGTCAGGTTACAGTGGGGAAGTTTTTTTAATTAGTACTTTTTTTCAATAATTTGTTTAATTATTCAATGACCTACATGTTCATCATCTTTGCCTTCGAAGTTTAATTGTTTTAAATTCAATCGAGATTATATGTATAATTTCGAGTTTCGAATTGAGGTTTTTCGGATTGATGTACAGGTGAAGGTTATTAATTTATTGAAAACGAAGTTTCATTGGTAGTTTGAAAGTTTTTAAAGTCAAATGGGTGGTGATGGTAAGGAAGCTAGTTGTGATACTGTACCAAGAGTTCAATCATCTGTTGGGGCTTCATCATCTTCACTTCTTAAGCAATCCCCCTTTCTAGTGAATCAACTTGACGTGCCTTTGTTAAATACTCCGCAATTTCACAGTCAAATGCGACAATTTTCCCCTAATATGACCATGGACAATAGTGTTAAAAGAGTTGGCATTCCACCCTCCTATCCACAAATGCCTCCTATTTCGCCCTACTCACAAGTTCAGGTTAACCGCCCTTCGAATCAGCAAATGGGTATGCAGAATTTTAGTCCTAGTGCAGGGCCATCACACTCACGTTCATTATCACAACCGTCATTCTTTTCAGTTGATTCCTTGCCGCCCTTAAGCCCTTCACCTTATCGGGAGTCACCTGCTACTTCGATTTCTGACCAAGTATATGCTGATGTATCAATGGAGGAGAGGGATGGGAACCTACATTCATTGTTGCCGCCTTCACCTTTCACAAGATGTGGTTCATTAAGGGGCGGGGAAGGTCTTCCTCCTAGTAAGGCACATAGAAGGTCTAATAGTGATATCCCTTTTGGGTTCTCTACCATGATGCAGTCGCCACCACTTATACCACTAAGGAGCCCGGGTGCTTTGGAGAAGTCACGAGAGAATTCAGGGGCTAAACCAGTACAGTTGGTTAAACGGGAGTCTAGTTGGGAGAAAGGTGGTGGGAGCAACGTTGAAGGAATGGGGGAGAGGAAATCTGAAGGGGAAATTGTAGATGATCTGTTTTCTGCTTACATGAATTTGGACAGCATTGACGCCTTTAACTCTTCCGGTACTGATGAGAAGCTAGGAAATGAATATCGTGAAGATAGTAGAGCTAGTGGTACAAAGACAAATGACAGCAGTGATAATGAAGCCACAAGTAGTGTCAATGAGAGCGGCAACAAGATTCAGAGACCAAGGGAAGGGATCAAAAGGAATGCTGGAGGTGATATTGCTCCAACCACTCGACACTACAGGAGTGTCTCTATGGATAGTTTTATGGGAAATGTGAACTTTGACGAGTCACCCAAGTTGTCTCCTTCTCCGGGAACAGGCGCAGGTCAACTTTCACCGACTAATTCAATTGACGAAAATATAAACACCTTTAGCTTGGAGTTTGGTAATGGTGAGTTTAATGGGGCTGAACTAAAGAAGATTATGGCAAATGAGAAACTTGCAGAGATAGCGATAAGTGATCCCAAGCGGGCCAAAAGGTAGTGTATCCTTCAATTTTTCATTGAATTTAAGCAGTTTATTCTTTATTTTTTCTGTTTATATATGGTGTGACTTAATGATACATACTTGTAAATAAGTACACCTGTATTGTCTTAGGATATTGGCCAACCGTCAATCTGCTGCTCGTTCAAAAGAGCGAAAGATGAGATATATAGCGGAGTTGGAACACAAGGTCCAAACTTTGCAGACTGAAGCAACCACTTTGTCTGCCCAACTTACTCTACTTCAGGTGAGAGGCTGCTGAGAATGCTAATATTCGTTCACTCCTCTTCAGTCATCCTTTTTAGTTTACCAATTAGTGACAATATTTCATTTGCATTCAGCGGGATTCTGCTGGACTGACAAGCCAGAACAATGAGCTGAAGTTTCGCCTGCAAGCCATGGATCAACAGGCACAGCTTCGGGATGGTATGATTATTATTCTCTATCATATATAATGTATGTTGGTTGCTATGCATTGAGACAAATATTCTGCTATTAATTGTGGCATAGCCTTTTCTTTAATTTGCTATGAAATCCCTTAGACTATCCTAAGTAAATATATGAAGAAAGTAGTTTACACAATTTTTATAAAGTATTCTCTGATTTCTCATTTAAGTTGTGTAATTGTAGATGCACAGTAATAAACTTTGACAACATTGAACTACCATAAATTCTTTGTTATGCCAAAATTAAGGGTGTCTTGTTTTCTAAGAATGATCATCACCTCACATGTAACATTTGTTGTTAGATGAGTACTTCATCTAAAGCACATCATTAGACAAAATAAGTAATAGTGTCTTGTTGTGAATAGACCCTGGTGCACCTAAGCAATGGCAATCACCTTCAGATTTCCTTTACCACTTCCTATCGTGCATCAGGCACCCATATGCACAGACACACTGAAGAGTCCGGTTTTCTTTTGTTCATACGAGGGACACCAGGTGGAGCAGATGAATACAAACCAATCGAAATTGAAAATAGTGTACATCCATGTTCACCTAAGTGTAACCTCTGACTGTCCACCTTAGAAGCGCGTATAGCAATGGAATTTCTTCTTTTGCCCAAGAATATGCTGAATGTAATCACATTTTTTGCTACTGCCATGTTACTATCACTGGGTATAGTTGCTTCCATCATTTTCCTCCACTAATCTTCTTTGTAAGCAGACTGCCACCATCCCTACCCCACCCATACACACATGTGCTCCCTCTTTGGACGTCTTGTGGTCTACTCATACATTTAGTTTTTCTCTGTACAATATTGTGATTGATCTTAATCACTTTATGGTACTTGGCTTTACTTGCTGACAAGAATTTAATGATAACCTAGCTTTAAAGTTTTTAAAATGTGCTACTAGACAGCCTGCTTCAGTTCTTGGTCCCCTGAATTTGTTGCACACTTTTGTTTGTTGGGGCTGTAGGTGAAATGCTCATACGATTTTTTATGTGATATATTTTGTTTCTACCAAGGTTCTGCTGTTGCACTGTGGCAGAAATTAACCTTCTTGGTTTTTTATGCCAGCATTAAATGAAGCATTAAGAGAGGAGGTACAGCGTTTGAAGATTGCAACTGCTGAACTAAATGGAGATCCATCCAAATTTCAGCAGCTTTCACTTAACCCTTCAATGTTCCAATTACGCCAGCAGCAGGCAACTCAAGTTAACATGCATCAATTGCATCAGCAGCAATCTCAGCCACATCAACAGAATGGTAATATATCTAATAAAAATGAATTGAAGAAATAGCTTCTACTGGTGCACTGGAACTTAAGCATTTAATCACCTTCTGTTTTCTGTTTTATTCTTCTCGGCACTACACATTCATTGGTTTTTGTGTGAATAATGTGACACATTAACATATGGAGTCTACATATTCTGATTTGTGTTGCACTTGCATGTTCATGCCAACTACAGTCCTTTTACAACCTTACCTTCAAGCGTAACTATGTCAGTAATAATATAGTATCTATCAACCTTTTTTTGTCAATGTAACTGGAGAAAACAATTATGGCTTGTTTATTAAAGTAGATTGTACAGGTGTGTACCTGACAGTATTAAGCACGAAACGGAAGTAAACAATGTTGTCCATTGTATTGTTCAATTCTGTTCACTACTATGTAACAAACATCTCAATATTCATCGATTTCATCTTTATTATTATTTTTTATTGCTTTCTTGTACTTGGGTTCTCGATGAAACTACATGAACGTAAATCCAACGTGGATGTTACCTAAAATAATGGGTTCGGTATGTAATGGCTGGTATCTCTGCTTGGTTTCATAGATACCAAATTCAATGAACTTCTAATTAGACATCATGGAAAAAGGTTTGGAATCTGTTTGGGATGTTGCAGTGTTGTGTGACTTTCTGAATGCTGATTGTAAATAATAAAATGCAGATTCCTGCATAGATCTCTAAAGAAAACAATAAATTGGTGTCATGCTCTGTATATATCCTCTATTAAGTTTGAGTTTATTAATTATTTATTTATTCGGAGTTCAATGAATCCAGGTATTTCATGTGAAAATAATAATAATAATAATAATAATAATAATAAATTGTTATTCTTATTCTGGATAAATTAATATACTAAAGAAATTGAAGACGCAAAATCCCTCTCCTCCCATTTCCCCCCTTTCCGCAGATTCTAAAATTCATAACTCAAAAGTTTTTGATTTTGTGTGTATATGTGTCGTGTGCAAAGGTGTTGAGTTCAGAGTTCTCATGGTTAAGGCAATGTGTTGGCCGCTCATGTGAGGTGACCCGATTCACAAGATATAAAAGGATTGGAGGAAGTGGTTTGAACTTGAAATTCAAACATACAACTCGCTATAACCGTCCTTAACTCCCATACAACTCCAGTTTTTGGTCTAGCGTCTTGAGAGAGAGAGAAATGGTGAAATTCGTATGAAAAATATCACCAAAATTGAAAAGTTCCTAAAATCATTATTTTGGTATGAAAACTTACAAAATAAGGCATTTAGATTATGGATAATAATTTCCTTCCATTGTGATAAGGATTAGAATCATTGGAGTGCAAGAAAATTGTAGATTTGGAAAGCAAGGTAATTTAATCATTCAAAAGATCGTAGAATTCATCATTTCAATAAGCACCTTGACCCGAAATTTATGTTAAAGATGCTACAAATTATTACATTGGTATCAGAGCCTTAAGGTTGAATTTCTTGCAATATTTCATGCTTGAATATGTCATTATATAATTCAATTGAGTTATGAATTTTGTATGTAAGGTTTTCAAACGTTACATGGTTTTTTATGGCATCTTTTGATAATTTACTGCTTTTGTACATTGATAATTAGGTAGTAAGATTAGTATGATTCAGAAGGCATTTCAATGAGCTTTCCAGCCAATGAAGAACTTGAATTTTGGACTTAAAATGAAGAAATTATGAGGTTTTGAAGTTTAGATGAAAATTGCATTTTTATTTTTTGTTTTTTTAAATTTGTGAAAATTTGTAAAATCCAAAACTTCATCACATGACAACTTCTACACTTTATTTTATGTTTCTCATTTGGTATGGTTGAATAGATCTACTCGAGACATTTCCTACGATATAAAAATAATTAATTTTGGCTTTGAAATGAAGAAGTTATGCCATCCTGAAACTTGGATAAAAATCATTTTTTATGTAAAAATCTATAAAATTTGAAATTTTAACACATGATAACTTCTTTTACACTTTAATTCATGCTTTCCATTTGATATGGTTGGATAGATCTTCCCGAGACTTTTACAACAGTATAAAGATAATTAATTTTGACATTGAAATGAAAGAGTTACGATCTCTCGAAATTTGGTTGAAAATCTAAAAATTTTGCATGAATTGGTTGTCATTTTCACTCTCGAATTAATTTGTTAATGTTTCAAACGCGGCTTAAAAATTAATCTTTTAAAATCTGACCACATAGATGAACTCAAAACATGGAAATTAATCAAAATAATCAATCGATAAAAATTTTCGAGGATGAAGTGATGGTGTTGATGTAGCTCCCATTTTTCTTATTACTTTAAAAAAAATTGTAAATTGATCCCGCATGTGAGGGTTCATGCGAGACTCAATTTCAATTCTGAAAATTGCAGATTGGTCACTGAATTATTCTTGATTTTTTAGTATAAAAATTAAAATATTTTTTTTGTATTTAATGCTTAAAATAAATTTGTGGAAAGCGTTAAAAATATTTTTTAACTTGATTAAGTTCTAATTTTGTTTTTATATAAAATCAAAATTTTTTATTAAGTGGTATTTAGCTAGTGGAGGTTTTTTTTTTCTTATTATTATTATTTTTTTTTTTGAAAATGAAAAAAATATTTTGAAAATATTTAAAATATCACTTTTATATACGTTTATGAATTGTGTGGGTCTTTGACAAGGTAATACGATCAAGTATAACTTATTTCCAATTTTTGTGTTTGATCAAATATTATTGGATCTATGCACACTTATAATATCCTTAGAGGAAATGCCAGAAAATCAAAGGTTATGGATCTAGTTGAGAAACTACGTGCTTATTGAAATTAATAAATGGATCTAAAATATGACCTAATGGAACACGCAAATATTTTTGGAACATTTTTTTGAGATAAGTAGAATATGAAAATTCTGATTTCACTTCCCATTTGTTTGGATTGTTTTGCAACAAATATTAAAGTGAGGTAGAGAATTTGTATAATAAAACTTATATTATGTGAGTTTTATTCTTCTATTATAATTGGAATTATTTTCTTGAAGAATTAATTTGTGATATCATGGTATATGTCATAATTGGATAAACATGCATGTTTATACTTTTATTGCACATCATGAAATTATATTATCGAATTACATGATATCTATTAATTCGTAAATTGTTATGAATGCTAAGGTCAGTATAATTAAAGGGATTCTTACTTAGACCTATTGATTTTCAGTTGAGTGATAGTTCGGTGATACGAAGATTTAGAAAAAATCTCACCTAAATCTATTTGATTCACCAAGTGTGAGATCTCAAGTTGAAAGAATTAATGTAATTCTCGCTTAAGACTCATGGAATTTTGCATTATGAAATTAAGTTTATGATAGTGAAACAATAGGATTGAGGATGATGATTGGGAATATAGTGAACTTTCGAATCTCTGTCTAGTGTATATGTTAATTTGCGTTAGTGTGAAATTATATATGTACATAAATAGGCATTGATTCAAAATAAAAATGTATCTAAAATCTGATAGATTATGGCATCAAAATCCATAATTGTTGGCCTTAATAAATATGATAAATTAAATGCAATGACATTTGGCATGATAAAATTTTGAGTGTACTAGAAGAACTCGATGCTTGAAAGAGCATCAACCACGCAATAGTAGACCTGATGAGGGTCATATTACTCTAAAGATCAGAACTTTGTCAAGTACGGGAAAAAATAGATTATAGTGCTTGAACATTTGAATTATTAACTTCTGTTATAGATGATCTTTTTCTCGAATGTGAATTAGTTGAAATGGTTAACATAGTGTTGACATTTTTGTTGTCATATTTTTTTAGATGAGTAGTAAGTTCAAACTAATCTCTTCTTAATAGATGAAGGAATATGTTACCTGTACATAATGTGGGGTCCATAACGGTGTACATCCTCCTCACATAGAAGGGGATCCACTTCAAATAAATTATATTTCATTCGAAGTGGGTCCTCCTCCATGTGAGAGGAGTGGACACCGTGATGTACGTATAGCATAACCCATAGATGGAAAACTTTGAATTGAAGTGTCAATTTTCTCCATTAACACTACATGCTATGTGAGTTGAAAGGCGTGTGAATTGATGTTGCTAAGTCTTGAGGACATGCTTGTGTAGTAATATTCTAATTTGCATAAGACTTTGGATCTTAAGCATTAAATGAGCTAGAAGAAATGTGGAATAGATGAGGAGAGTGAAAAATGGACCAAGAAGAACATAAATTCATGAAAGTGGTTGTGGTAGATGACTAATGTTATAAAGGCTCAAGTGTTTAAATCATACGGTGTGAATCTCTTAACTCGAAATGAGTTGAGCTAAAGAACACCGCACTTGAATATGTTCATCTTAGTATTGTTTACATGTCAACACTATATATATTGAATCTTATCTTGTGTAGATAGTAAATTCAAGAGTAAGAAACCCACCATATATGAGATCAAGAAATGTCTTTAGTTATATAAATATTAAATAGATATTTTAGATCAAATCACACCAATTGATTGGCGAATATGTTAATAATAGGTTCTATGAATTTAATGATTTACCTGCCCATTAGATCATTTCTATATATATATAATGAACATATAGTGGATGTTTATATGATTAGTATATGCAACTTACTGTTGCAAAGTGAGGAAACTAACATCTTATTTGATATTAAAATAATATCAAATACTTCACTAAATTTGATCTCACTTATTGTTCTTCTAAAATTGGTCTTACTTGAACTTATTTGTGGTAGTCCTGTTCGTACTCACAATGGTGATGTTTATTATGGTTCTGAATATTTGTGCAATGATTTGAAGTTTGAGTTGAGAAAACCATTCAAAACTTTAATAGTTAAACTTTTATAAAGTGAATCCATTAGAATTTCTTTGCAAGGGAAGTTAGGGATGGAACTTCATTTTTCATTACATCTATTGATGTATTTATGCATTTCAGTTGTGCATCTGATTTTCTTAAATTGAATATATTGTATTTATTAAGACTTTCTGAAGTGGAGTAGAAAATCGGATAATGGAAGTAAAGACTTTGAAGCTGTTCGAGAGCGTGAATCTCTATCATAAGAATTCGGTGATCTAGGTGATGAAAGAGAAATTCTTATTGAATTAACTATTTCCCAATCACCAATATAGTCTATTGGGTAGAAGAAATGTAATATTACTGAATGTGATGAGGCTTGAGATAATACATTCAATTTGCGTGTTTGATTAACTGCAACCTATCATTTAATGGAGTTCTTTCAATGTTGGTACTTTCAATATACATAAGCTTTGAACATGTAGATAATCAAATATGGGTTATCCTAGGCTCACAATCGACTATATATAAATAAGTTTGGGAACATGAGTCTATTAAAAAAGAGATATATCTCTAAGATACAAATGATAGTAAAAAAAAATACTTATGCGAGATTTTGGATAGATTTTGG